ATATATATGAATTAGATAGCAGCTACCAGATTGTATAACACCTTAATGATTACTAATGTATTATATGTGGCATCACAAATTAATTAAGCTAAGCTACCTAATTATGGTACCTAATTAATATGTTTGGTTCATGGGAAACTCACCAAAATACTCAGTGATGATGGACATGCATGTGAAGTATAGTGGTCTTATCATCCCTTTGGTAAAAGGCTTTTTGAGCTTCCTCTCTGCCTTCATTTTCAAACAATTTATTGACTTCACCATCTAAGAACTTAAACACCTCATTCTTCCCATACCTGGCTGCTCGAAACCCAGCTGTCTCACCACGCTTGTTGCGTATGCCTAACAACTTTGGTGCTTTTCGCAGCATTTCCCTAGCAGCGGGGACAATTCTGTTGGAAGTAGCTGCCTCATGGAGTATAGTGTTTCCGATGTCATTCTGAAGAGTCAGTTTGTCAAGATGACTTTCTGGCAAGTCCCCAAGTAAATGAAGTACCAAGTCCTTTTGTTTGGAGTAAGTGGCCATGTGAAGGACTGTGTCATTGTGTATGGTTATTATGTGCAATGCCCCTTCTGGAATTTTTTGACAGAGTTCAATCACCTTTGCCCCTTCTCCTCTGATCAGAGCATTGTAAAGCTCCTTATTACTTGCATGTTTTGCATCATTAACTATGTGAGCCATAGGAGTGGTGGGTGGGGGGAAGAATAAAGCTTCACTTAAGACAAGTATATATATTATATGTATAATGTGTGTGTGCATGTGTGTTTGCTCTCTATAAATAGTGAATTGGCTTGCATCTCCTGTTTTTTGAGAAATTCTACTATACCCCGGGGCCCGGGGGTATTTTGACACGTGTTATCCCTCCCGATCAAAGTTCTCTGTTTACTTTAGTAAATGGAGAAGTGGAGTGTTTCAAAATAATTGAGATGCTTCGATTGAGAGGGGGTACCACGTGTCAAAATACAGAGTTCAATCATCTTTGCCCCTTCTCCTCTGATCAGAGCATTGTAAAAATCCTTCTTACTGGCATGTTTTGCATCATCAACTACGTGAGCCATGAGAGAGAGGGGGCGAAGAATAAAACTTCACACACAAGTCTATATATCATATGCAGTGTGTGTAAATGTGTGTTTGTTGTCCATAAATAGTGAATTGGCTTGTATATGTTTTACTTGCTTGCTCTTTGTTGAAAAGGTAGCGACTGCTTAGTCGTTGAGTGAATTGGTGGAGCATTTATTCTTTCTTAGATTACCATAATAAAGTAATGAATTGAAGATAGTGTTTAGATTCCAAGAAGGTAGTAGACAAATTGAACAAAGCCAAGCTCGAGCCTATGTCACCTTGGCTTATTCAATTTTGGGCTTAGCCTAAGCTCCTCTGAGAGCTAGTTAAATTATGCCAAAGAAGCCTGCACAAAGAAAACATAGAATTGGATGTTACAAGCCATAAATGAATCAATGAAGGGCATAACATTTAAAAAGATAGTGATACATTATAATCTACCTCCGTCCTTAATTATTGGTGGATGTCCACATCTATTATGCTGAAGGTGACATAACGAAGTGTTTTTGATTGAGATGACAAAATTCCATTAATAAAAGATACGGTTAGTATTTATTCCCTGAAATCTCCTATGGACAATCTTTTTTTCCTGACAAACAAATGTCCAAAGCCACCATCTGCAAATTGACATTGGCTGTCATGGTTTACAATGCGTGGACAGAGCAGAATCGTCGAATCTTTCGTGGTAAACCTCAAACTGCATCCTTTGCATGTTCTTCACTGAACCATTGATTCTGTGCAATTGAAGCTTCTTTCCTGTGCCTTCATGGACTCTCCGTTAGCAAGGCGATTTGCAGTGGAATGGGATCTTCCTGAGGGTGTAATCAGTCTACCACCGCGATTCAACCACCTGTAATCAATCGATCTGCAAGGAACTGCTCTCTGCTGACCGGATTTCTTGGTGGACAAATGGACAATCGTTTCCCTCCCACCTGAATTTTGAATTTGCTGTTGTTGGATTCTCCAACTTGGGCTTTAAATTTGCTATTGTTGTTGTCTGTTGGAGCTCTCCAACTTGGGCCTGGTCCAATTCCTTATGTCGTAATTGCTTGGGCTACACACTCCTAGCACAATACCCCCATTTATGGGCCTGTACAGTTAACACGTCTATACTTAATTTTACCTTTTTTTAAAAAAAAAATGAAAAAAATACAATGTCCTGGATTTGAATCCCTCTCATGAATTCTGCATGTCTCAATTTTACTGTCTAACGAAGAATCACGTCGTCGTCTGAGCAACGTGATTACTTTGTCCGTCATTGGAAAAAAAAATATATATATATAATGGGCCAAACTTTCAACTTATTGATTTGTTCAATCAAAAGAGAGCATTTTTTAAAATAATAAAAATATCCAACAAAGATATACTCCTCTGTCTTTAAAAAAATAAAAGAATATCATGTTTTTTTTTTTTGGTCTGTTCTAAAACAATTATTACTTTTTTTTTTTAAATAATATATTTTATATCTTTTCATATATAATTTGAAATTTAAAATTTCAAACTTAAATATTCAGAATTTTGATAAGTAAATTAGTAATTTTTTTTTTTTTTTTAAAGAGATAAGACATGTTCTGTATATTTTTTTAAAAATTATTATTCCTCAAACGTCACATCAAAATCAGAATGGGAGTATAGCAGTGTCATTTTCAATTCAATAGTGTTACAGTATTGCATCTCTCAATATATTCTGTTACAGGAGCAAATGTGAATACATAATGATAATGGCAATGGGGACCCACATGTCTAAAACGTCAGGGTAGACAGCCTAGATTCCAAGAAACTTTTTCTTCAATAATATGGTGTCGCATCACACTTGATAGTGTGGTTGATTTAAGCACTAACTCAATTTTTGCCACTAATTAATCTACCCATTTCCTCGGAAATAAATGTGAGGGCATTTTTTGCATTTGTTTTACTAATATTTTGATATATCTTCGTGTAAATTTTAATAATATGTGGGACTTATATATTAAAATAATTGGAAAATTTTATTTATCATATAACTTTTTTATATGCTAAATTTGACAAATTTAATACTCTGTCAACTGCTTGATTGGACGAGTTCTTCATGTCAAAACTAACCACCTAAAATTTGACGTGTTAGTTGAAGGTGTTGGAAGAGCTAATTTCGGTCATGACACGAGTTTACTGCTCATAACTTTATTATGCAATCAAACAAGACGTCGTCAGTCTACTGTTAACAAAGCATAAAGTTCCATGATATGGTGAGAAATGCCCCCACCAAAAGTACTGTAAAAGTGCAATCCACAACAAAGCTCACACTTCTTTTTCATATGTTGAACAGAACAGCAAAGACATATTTATAGACAACATGCGCATATACATTGTTACATTACTGTTGGAAAATTATGTCTCAAAATTCCTAGTTTAATTAGGTATCTAATTTATAATTGTTTTCGTTTGACATTTCTTGTAGGCAAATATTGCTTTATCAAGGAATTGAGTTTAACACACTATAAATAGGTGTTAAACTATAAATAGGTACCTCAATTATGGATTGAGGCAAGGGGTAGATGGGACTTTGTTTGGATTGGCGGGTTAACTTCAAATTCAAGGTTTTAACATATCGAATTGTGCCAAGCTCAAGTTTTGAGAAACCCAGCATTTCAACCACCGCCATATCTCACGGGTTTTACAGATTTTTCAGGTTGCTCGAGTTGTCCAATATTTTAATAATTTAGTAACAAATAAACATTACAAAAGAAAAAAAAAATGTTAAAGTATATAACTAAATACATTTGACATAAAATAAAATCACTCGAATTATTAAATTTGCAAGTATATTATTATTATTATTTTGGACTTTTGGTAATTAAAACTTGTGTGACTTGATAATATTATTCATTCCTATAAGAATTTGGAAAGAACTCAATGTCTTATATTTTTTTATTATTTTGTTTCTTTAACTAAAATTTGATTATTATAATTTTTTTACTTGAAGCAAGTGTGTCAAAGTTAGGTTAATACCTATGATACTATAAATTATTTAATTTGAATCTTATTTTATAACAACAACGTATAGACTCAAAAATATAAATTTTTCTTATATTTTGGGTTCTTCGGATTGTTTGAAAATTTTTGCTGCGTATCACCCAAAATAAATTTAGACTCTAAAGTTTATACCCAATTTCAGTTTCATGATCTCAAGTGCTTTACCCATGCATATAAAAATTTTAAGTGAACTCGAATAGCTTGAGTTAGACCCACCCAAGTATAACCCCTAGTTCTCCTAGGTCGCAAGAGTACGTACTTTGGCAACAAGTCAAGAATATGATAAATACCACCCCTTATTGAGACTTAAAATTTTGAGAGATGTATTCTTGCGAGGGAGGTGATAGGTAGAGTTAATGTATTGATTAGTAAAAATAAAAAAAATATAAGTGACGTTGGTAACAACAAGATAGGTACGTGAAAGGACATGTAATAATACATCGTGAACAGATATGTATGTAATGTTAAGTACTAACTTAAAAAAAAAAAAATTGTTAGTATTCTACCATTGTAATACTTTTTTATTTGGGGGCATAAAATTGCAACATTGAAATCGAAATTGAAATTGAAATTAAAATTGAAATTGACAGAATTGGAGAAAACTGAAAAACACCTCACAAAATTAAAATAAAATTTTCATCAATTTCAATTTGAATTCCAAAACTCAAATTCTATACAGTCGAACGCAACAATAATGTAATTTCTCATCATTCGTGAGAATCTCTCATCATCCTCAGACTCAAACTCGAACTCGGATGTAGATGGATTTTGCGTGAATCATGTTAAAACTTGTCTGTGTATATGATTGCTTGTTTGAACTTCCACGAATCTTGATGTTTGTCACAAAGGTACCTGCTTTATCATGCAATCAAACTGACAAGACACCAATTTACCGCTAACACGCCATAAAACTCAATGATAAGTTGAGAAATGCCCCCACCAATGTATCCTAAAATTACAACCCACAACTAATCAGGCACTACTTTTTCATATCTTCAACAAAGATAAGAAAAAACAGATGCTCATATACACTATGTTTTAGACTCGTCCCTTGTGAAGCCAGAAGCTTTGTGAACCATTTTCTTCCCCCCTCTCTCTCGATCTCATGGATCACACAGTCGATGAACGCGGCCTTAATAAGGATCTATACGATGCTCTGATTAGAGGAGATGGAGAAAAGGTGATTGAGCTCTGTCAAAAACTTCCAGAAGGAGCACTGCACATATTAACTATACACAATGACACAGTCCTTCACATGGCCACTTACTCCAAACAAAAGGATTTGGTAGTCACTTTACTTCGGGACTTGCCAAAAGATCATCTTCACAAGCTCACCCATCAAAATGACATCGGAAACACTATACTCCATGAGGCAGCTACTTCCAACAGGATTGTCCCGGCCGCCAAGGAATTGCTGCAAATGGCGCCAGAGTTGTTAACCAAGCGCAACAAGCGCGGCGAGACAGCTGTGTTTCGTGCAGCCAGGTATGGGAAGAATGAGATGTTCGAGTTTTTAGATGGCGAAGTCAATAAGTTGTTTGAAACTGAAGGCGTAGAAGAAGCTCAAAAAGCCTTTTATCAAAGGAAAGATAAGACAACTATACTTCACATGTCCATCCTCTATGAGTATTTTGGTGAGTACTTAATTACCCCATGAACTAAACATATTTTGGTACGTACCATAATTTGTTCATCACTGTTAATAGGCTTATGCTATTCTTGTAGTTGCTAGCTATTTTTATTTTTATTTTTATTTTTATTTTCCCTGGTTATCGCTTTCATTCAATTCTTTCCACGAAATTAATATGAAACAGATTTGGCTCTTTGGATTGCGAGGAGATATAAATACCTAGTTGATGTGCGGGATGGAGATCGGATGACTGCTCTTCAACTTCTTGCATGTAATTCGTCAGCTTTCATGAGTGGGAGGAAGCACAGTTCCCTCAAGCGACTCGTCTACTCTTGTATGATTCTTGCTTTTTCACTTCAATATTCACTTCTGAGGCTTGTTTGTTTGGATGTATTTTCAGAATATATATATATATATATATATATATATATATATACATATATTTATTTATTTATTTATTTTCTGATGTTTGATAATTGTAAAATATTTAGGAAGAAAAATATTAAAACTCAATAAAAATAACTTATTCATCATATTTGGGCTCCTGCCCGATGAACTCAATAGCGACTTAAACCTTTACCAAAGGCCGAAAAATAAATATTTAAAAAATATATTTTACCTCAAAAAGAAAACCAAATTTTGAAAAAAATATTTTAGAAACAAACTAAGCCTAAATTACTTTTTTTTTTTTTTAATTATTGGCAAGAAATAGTCACCCTACTCACATACTTACTTTACCTCTTTAGGGACTCCAATCCTAACCATCTACATTAAAAAATAGGGAAGATTCATTCATATTAGTTTCATTTGGTCACCTAGACTAAGTGAAGAAAGCAACTAACTAATAGGCCTGTAGCCTAACGGTACAAGACTCCTACCTTTCAAAGAGAGGTTAGGGGTTTGAACTTCAGTGGAGGTCGTGCGTGTGAGTTCCAACAAAAAAAAAAGAAAAAAGGGGGCAACTACACTTGCAACCTTCTCCTTCTTCTTCTTTTTTATTTTTAACTTTTTTAATCTTTCATTTTTTTGACAAATCGCATAAAACACCCTCTACTTTCAATTTTTGGCAAAAAAACCCCTCCAATTTTTTTTTTTTTTTTTTTGACATAAAACCCCCTAAGATTTTTTATTTTTACAACACTGCACCCTAATATTTGGCACAAACCTGGTTTTTCAGGTGTCCAAACTCAAGATACTGCTGCAACTGAAGAAGGTAAAGGGTTGTCTAACAGAGTCACAGCCTTAATGCTTCTCTTACAGATTTTGGTGTATAGATCCATTGTATTTAAATTTGTAACTCAATCCATTACATTTGTCTATGTTATGATTATGACATTTCTTTCTTTTTCTGAGCATATTAAATATAACACAAAACCTTGTTATTCAGGTGTCCTACCTAAAGATACTGCTGCCACTGAAGAAGGTAAAGAGCTGTCTAACAAAGTCACACCCTTGTATTTCTCTTATATTTGATTTTGGTGTATAGATTCATTGTATTTAAATTTTTAACTCAATCCGGTTAAGTTTCAAGGTATCAAGACAGTTGCAACATCTTAAGACAGAATTTATGCAAGCTGGTGCAAATATGCATTATTACAACAATTCGAAGTTTTTCTCCCGTTGCTACTAAAACAGTATACTAACATATTTGTTAGTATTTCATGTTTGTCATCATTTTTTTTGATTATATGAAAATTGATTTATGAATTCTTATATTGGAAGAGTTCCTTAGTTAGAAATTCAGTCATTACAATGTTTGCTGAAATTTTTTCTGTCCTTACAATGGTTTGATGGATCAACATAGCTAAGCATATCACACTTAATGTTCTACCTATTTATTCCCTATGCATATAGTATACAACTTTTGTTGACTTTCATTTTTTGATAAGTTGAATCAGGTTATATAGTGCCCTTATGGGAAGCAATTCGGAAACGAAAACAGAGATTTGAATCAGCTTTGAAACTTGCCAAGTTCTTGATTGCAATGGATACCTCATGGGAGGCTACTGAATCTGCAATGGACCAGAGTAAGCCTAAGACCCACAAATACGGAGTATCCTTCCATTCTTCCAAAGGCCAAGAACTAGAAGAGCGTGAAAAGGACCTGACAAGTAATGAATTGAGCACCGTAAAGACTGCAGAAACTCCATTATTTTTGGCTACTAAGGAAGGCATTTTAGAGATTGTTGAAGAAATACTCAACACATATCCTCAAGCAGTCGAGCATATTGATGGCGAAGGGCGTAACATTTTACATGTAGCTATCAAGTATCGCCAAATACATATTTTTGATTTTGTAGCGAAGATGGAAATTCCGATGATAAGGCTCATAAGAAAGACTGACAACAGTGGGAACTCCATACTGCATATGGTTGGAGTAAAGGCACAAGATCAAAAAGCTGAAGAGATGCGAAGTCCTGCTCTGATATTGCAAGAAGATTTGCTCTTGTTTGAGGTAAAATTCTTGTGTCCCATTCATTCATGGATAGGTGCACACGACACATGGATATAAGCATAGTCATTAGAGAAACACAAACATTTGTGTATCCTTTGATGTGGGTATTACATTGTCAGTACTCCGGTCAAGTACCTAATAATTTTTGTTACATCTTGAAACATAATCGTAAAATGCCTAGCAAAAAAAGAGTCTAGAATCTGAACTTGCTGGTGCTGAGGAAAGTTTTTTGTATGTGACTTTGTGCAGCGCGTGCAGAACATCTCTGCAACTCATTTCGTCAAGCACTTCAACTCTAAAGGGCAGACTGCTGAAGTACTCTTTGCCACTAATAATGATCAATTGCGTAAGGACGCCCAAGAATGGCTGAAGCGAACTGCTGAGAATTGCTCTATTGTTGCTGTGCTGATTGCAACTGTTGCTTTTGCTGCGGCCTACACAGTACCAGGAGGTCCGAATCAGAGTACTGGTTATCCCCTTCTCCTTAACAATCCTTTCTTCGTAATTTTCACCATGACTGATGTACTCTCCCTCACATTCGCTTTGACATCCGTGATTGCATTTCTCTCCATACTCACGTCACCATTTCGGTTGAAGGACTTCAAGCAGTCTCTTCCTCAAAAACTAATGCTTGGAGTTACTCTACTGATTTTATCTGTTTCAATGATGATGTTGGCATTTGCATCCACAATTATCCTAATGATACGTAACAAGGAACAATGGACAAGAATTACCTTGTGCTCTGTTGCTTTCTTGCCGGTCACCATATTCGCATTCTCATACTTGCCTCTGTATGTGTCACTCATGGAAACTTTCAAGTACTCCCTTAAGAAAATAGGGGATGTTTTTCCTCGGTGTAGCAGTGCCTTTATTCGATCTCGGGTGGCTAATTCATTGGGATTTTCTAAATCCCAAACCAAAATTCCCTCCAAAACTATGCAATCTCAAGCCACTAGCTCCACCTGTTCTACATATGCTTGCAAACTTCAAACCACCCATTCCTTTGTTTGAACTCGAATGCAAACTCATCTTAGTACCCTCTCCAAAACACCTTATCAATCATTACATTATTTGCTGTGTTGACTGATTTCCTGTATGGTTCATAGGTGAGATCCATTGAGTGGTAACTATTGTTTCCTCTTTCTAGATTTCTACCTACCATTAGAAAATGAACATGAGTGGTTTGCTTTGTTGAGTGATTTCCTGTATGGTTCTAAATTTTCTTATAATGTTTGCTTTTAATATATGTAGTGTTCTGGTTTATTTGGTCACATTTATGGGTTACTTCTAATTTGTAAACTAATAAAACTTAAATGTATTATTTCTAAAAAAGAAAAATTATATCAGATTGCAAAATATTCCCAAGTTGGTGTCGAACCTTATAGTGTATGCAGTTTTCGTTCCACAAACACCAGTCAATTACCTAGAAAAATTTTCGAGATCTTGTGATGCATTAGGCCCCGTTTGTTTCACCGTAAAATATTTACCTCATTTTCCGGTGTTTGGAAGACTCCGAGGTTAGAAAATTATTTTTCATGTAAATCATTTTATCCCCAAATGAAAATGATTTACCAAAAGAATTTTCTCAAGTCATTTTCCGCATATTACCTTGGGTCATCTAACCATACATACTCTTATTGAATCCATATGCCCTTCTAACAATTAATCTTTTTTAGTTCTCCCAATTTAAAAATCTAATCTTCAATTTTTTCTCTCTATATGTATATATGGAGTGAGAGCAGAAAGAAAGAGTGACACAAATTTGAGTTGGTTGAAAAACAAATTTTGGTCGAGGGCATGTTCTAGAGAGATAGTGGAGAGAGAAAATAACAAGAATGAGAGGGAGGGATGGTTTAGCATAGAGAGAGAGTAATGAGGTGAGAAAGAGATGGTTTAAGAGATACTATTTCTGAGAAATACTGAAGAAAGAGAGAGAGAGAGAGTTAATTGTGCACAAAAGTTTATCTAGAAAATATTTTACAAACCATTGTCAATATCGGAAAATAAAAAAATATATTTTACATGTCAATATTTTGTTTAAAAAATATTTTACAAGGAAAATATTTTGCGTCAAACAAACGAGCCTTAAAGTCATTGCTTTTGCACCGCAGTATTAAGATCACTTTTAAAGCACTCACTTTATTCCTATATTATATATATATATATATATATATATATAATATAATCGATTTAAACTCATTGCAATGTTGTATAACATGTTCAATATGATTGTTTTTTTAAACGAAGAATCAAACCACTCAGTCACCCTTTAAACTACAAATGGTTTGTAATACGTGTGTCATTTGAATATATGTCTTGTGTTCAATATGATTCGAACCAAAAATCTAAGGAGAGTATTCCAAATAACGAACCCATTTCTACACCAGGAACGGACCTATAGTGTACTCAGGGGCAATTGTCCCCATTGTTTTTTTGTTTTTCTTTTATTTTTTATTTTTATTTTTTTTATAGTAATAATAGTAGTAGATTTCCTTACATTCCTATTAAATTTTCATATTGCCTCCTTAAAATTATAAAAAAAAATTCTATTATTGCCCCCCTCACCTAATTTCTTGGATCCGTCCATGTTCTGCACTATAAGCGGCAACGGTAATTTGGTGAACTATAAGAAAGAAATATATTCAGTAAGAAATTAATTATGTAATAAAATAATTAAACTAAAAGGAAAATAAAAATGTTGTTTCAATAAAATTAGGTTGTTTTCTATCCACATTATCCCAAAATGTGAAAGTGATGGTGCAACTGGGATGTATATCTCAAAGTGCCCCCATTTAAGCACACACCCACTTTTGCATGACACATTTCAGAGATACTTTCGAAAATATTTTCTATTTGTGTACAAAATTGTAAAGAGTTGTGAAGGATTACATAATATTGGAGAATAAAAAGACATACTAACAAAATCATTTATTTAAAATACATTTTAACCGTTCCTTAGGGAAGTGAGGATTATTATAAATAGGTGATGTGAGTGGGCAAAGCACACCCATTCCAATATTCAATTAGATGCATTGCTATGCAAAGTATTATAAGTTATCAATTAGAAATATTGCGAAATTGTTTAGGCGTTTATTAATTCACGACAAAATGAATTTGTTAAATTCTTAGGCATTTAGTCGGCAAATTATACGGAATTGATCGCCGGAATGTATCTTACACTTTCCATCATCATATGGTTTAGTTATTATCCTCAAACTCAATTAAGATCCAAATTATAAAAAATATATAAAAAATTGTGTTAGTATTATCTTTTTTATTAAAGACTTTTCAAATTCCGCTAATTAAAAACTTTTCTTCATTCATCCATCAAATCAGAGTTTTAGCCTATTTATTAAATGAGCCAAAGAAATGCATGTCAAATTGTTTGCTTTTTCTTTATAAATAGTTTCAAATTTTCCATTACACTTTCTTAATAAAGTAATAAAATACATGAAAAACATAGAATTACATAATTAAAAATAAATAAATATGTTTCAGGAGCTCCAACATCGAGCCAAACCAACTCATCATTAAAATAAATTCAAACTTTGCTCAACTTAATTACATGAACTCATCACTAGTTCGAGTTGAGTGCAAAGAAATGAAGAATTTGGCCCAAACAGACACAGAGCTAGCTCATTGTTTTGCAGCCCCATCTACAAATGTACTTGGTTTCCATATTTTTGCTTTGGAATCAAACCTCTCGTTTTCAAGACTATTATGTTTAACAATTTGTTACTCAAACATTAGTTCAATGTGAAAGTGAGAGGTTGGAATCTCATAGCAGGGAACAGTTTATGAAATGTGTTCAAGTATTTATCTAACATAAATAAACAGATAAACAATTTATTATTCAATTAAAAACTCGGTTTGTAACTATGGAAATAATTTTCTATTATGAAAAAATTGAAAACTGTATAAAAAATTTGGTTCAATTTTCTTAAAACTGTTTTTTGAAAATTCAATTATAATAATAAAAAAATTATTCTATGAGAAAGGTTTTCAATTTTTCGAGTTCTAGAAAACTATTTTGTAAGTTACAATTCAGACAAACCCTACCGCCTACCCTTTTCTTCTTTATTTTATTTTTTTTATTTTTTTTATTTTATTTTTAAGAAGTCCAAACAATTGTATATATGTATGGGTTACAGGAGCCCAATTTAATGGGTGAGGCCCAAAGGACAGTTACAAATGAAACATAACGGCCCAAATGGGTACAGGTGCAAATTTAGACTATCCGGAAAGCATTCAAAAAATCAAAGGGATCTCAACATCTCCGGTGGTGAAACCATGGTGTGATTCACGTAGAAGATCACATTCAATCAGGATCAGGCGGTCTCGGGGTGGCTGGACGAAGGAAGACGGCAAGTTCCATCTTAACTGACCACGCTGGGACTCTCTGGAATCTCTCATTGTTTCAGAGTGAAGCTTTCCTGAGATGGTATCCATCCCATAAATTTAATCCTGTTGAGGATGCACCATTGCGAAGAAGATTTTCCTTTAAACAGTCTTGAATTTCGCTCGTTCCAAAAATGGCATATACCGCAGTGGATACAGTTGATCGAGATATAGCATGCTATGTGGAACCCACAAAGTGTTTGAATAAATGACCAAATTGGAGATAGAGTGGACAGTGAGAGAGTTGGATTCAAGGGATGATGGGCAGAGGTTTTTTTTTTTTGGGGAGGGGGATCATAGGGGAGCTTTTGCTGTTAAAAAGAATCAACCCACCCGCTAACCACTTTGGACTCGGATTGTTTGCAAACTCCTGATATGTGCAATCACGTCCGAGTTTACGGTTCATCCTAGGAGACCCCTTATCCACTGGGCCACCTGTGAGAGTTATGAGTTCTCTTTCAGTTGCATTGGACTCAGCAGGAGAATTATGAATGGATAAGTGACTGAGAAAGACTGAGTGGTCCCGACGACAACCAATTATCATGCCAAAAACTGGTAGATGTTCCATTTCCGATTCTATGCTTGATTAGTGGTCTAACTACAGTTCTGAGATGCAGAAGCTTTCTCCACATTCAACTGCATTGCTGAGGTATGTTTAGCTCCCAAACACATCTATGCTTGATTAACTGCTCTGTGATCCATTTTACCCAAATGATGTGATCCTTTTTTTTGTGCGGATCCGCCAATGTCTAATGATTTCTGCTTTATTGAGTGCTTTTAGATTTGCAAGAAACTACTTTTATTTACTGTTAACATAGCGTAAAGAACATATATACAATAAAAGAAATGCCAAGACTAATGCACAATTAAAGTGCAGCCCAACAACTACGCAAAGTAGACAATTCGTTTTCATTCATTAAACAAAGAATATGAGTAAGAAAATAGGGAAACACTAACAAACCAAATTGCTTTTTATAGACACACACATACTATATATATATGTAAAACCTCTCTCTCTCTCTCTCTCTCTCTCTCTCTCTCTCAAATGGCTCACATATCGGATGATGCAAAACATACCTGTAATAAGGAGCTGTATGATGCTTTGATAACAGGAGACGAAGACAAGGTGGTGGAACTCTGTCGAAATATTCCAGAGGGGCCATTGCACATCTTAACCATACACAATGACACAGTCCTCCACATGGCTACTTACTCCAAACAAAATGACTTGGTACTCAAATTACTTGAGGAGTTTCCTGGAAGTCATCTTGACAAGATGAGCCTGCAGAACGACATTGGAAACACCATACTCCACGAGGCAGCCACTTCAAATAGAAATGTGCCTGTCGCGAAGGAAATGTTGCGAAGAGAACCAAAGTTGTTATATATGCGCAACCAGGGTGGAGAGACTGCTCTATTTCGTGCTGTCCGGTATGGAAAAAAAGAGATGTTTGAGTTTTTAGATGGTGAAGTGATCAAGAAAATCTTTGAAAGTGAAGGCGGAGAAGAAGATCAAGAAGCATTTTATCGAAGGGAAGATAAAACCACCATACTTCACATGTCCATCCTCACGGAGTATTTTGGTAAGTAACAAGTCATGTCAATGAAAAAGAATATAGTAAGTTTCTAATTCATTGGTAGTATTTAATGGTCCTATAAAATTAAAAGCAGGACTTATTTGCAATTCTTTCAACTATTAGTAGAAATGATAAACCTAACCCCTTCAGATGCACCTAAATGGCTCCCACTAAAGCTCATATTGGATTGGTGGCTTTTGTTTGTCTATCATTACTCCATATTATAGGATATAAGTGTGGATGCATAGAATGACATAACACGTATTGACTTGAAAAATCATAAAAAAAATTGAGCACAAATACTATGAGGACAATTCAACAATATTTTATTTATTTATTTATTTTTGTATAAAAATAAATATTTCACGATAGTAACACCTACTCAGCCATCCCGTGGGAAAGGTTTTCAACTCTGAAATATTCGCAATAAGCTTTTTTACCTTCAATCTTTTATTTTAGAAGACGAAAAAGTATCAGCAGGCTACAGACTTTGGTGGTATCTATGCAACAAGCTTAATTATGTAATTGTTGTTATACATCTAATCAGTTAGCTTGGCCTACTTTGTGATGTCATCTAATCATTAGTAATAAGGTGTAGTGCAATCTGATTGCTAGTAACTAAATTTTTTTTTTATTTGTTTATTTATTTATTTTGGTCCTGTTTTCACTTTTATGCAATTTCTGCTGTGAAATATAACACAGAGTTGGCTGTTTTGATTGCCAAAAAATATGAGTATTTAGTTGGTGAGCAAGATGGAGATGGGATGACTGCTCTTCAACTCCTTTCAAGCAAACCATCAGCATTCATAAGTGGGAGTAAACAAAGTCCCTTCAAGCGACTCATCTACTCTTGTATGATTCTTCCTTTCTATTTTTTTTAGCTTTTCTTTCTTTTAGTTTTAGTATGAACTTCATTTGGTTTCCAAGAAGAAAACGACCTAAACTTGGAATCTTTTCTTCTGTTTTTCCTTCTTGACAACACAAATGGGAAATAATCTTTTACTAATAAATTTCCAAAGGCAACTGCAAAAATATAACAATATATTAATTGATTTAGTTAATCATTTTTATTGTCTATTTCATTTATCTATGTTGTGATTATCCTTTTGTCCTAAAAACTTACATAATAATTAAATATGACACAAAAAAAAATTCAGGTGTCTTAATTAAAGATACAACTGCAAAGAAAGAAGGTATAGCGCTATATATATAATAAACCTAACAACCTTGTTTCTCTCCTAGTTGATTTTGGTTTCAAACAACAAAATGAATTAATTAATTCGGAAATATATTATTGGTGAGCAACAAAATGTCCACATGATACAGTACAAGTGAGAATTGGTAGATGAAGTTGATTTGAACATCTCAATGACTTCTTTCATAAATCAACACGAGGATTACACGGTCAAAATTTCATATAACACTTCATTTAAAATAGAAGACGTACTTCAAACAACTTTATATTATCTCTTTTCTTTAAAAGGTAAAATTAACTTTAAATTCTCTTTCAGTTTGAACAAATTTGAGCAAATTGAAGCTTATCTTTGACTAGCTCTTATGATTTTATTTTAAGTTATTTTAACATTTTTTTATAGAAGGATTATCTTAATGTGCAGCGTGAAAATATGAATTGTCGTGATTTTTTATATTCAAAATGTACTAATTTAAAAGAGAGCCCATGACAACTGCAATGAAGTACGCCATGACAGTTTTGTATGATGAAAATCTTCAAATTTAATTTTTGCAATCGGACAAGTAGGTCAAATAAGTTATTAAGTGTGTCTAGTCATTTTGTGATTAAATGGGTATTTTACAGAAAGCTTACCATTGCCTTCTCATCTAAATATATGTTTCTGAAATATAATGCGCCTCCGGTTGTAGTCAGTAGACACACATTCCCTTGAGTAATCAAGATCTTCACCAGTGAGCTCTTTCTGCGGTTCTGTCAAGTGGGCGAATTTCATCACTATCAACAGAAACTTTTGCTGTAAAGATGTGAAATGGACCTGTAAGCAAATAGTAAGGACCTTGAACTATATATAGATAAGATAAGAAAAGATGAGGTTATGTGTCCTGTCATCCACAGTTCCACAATCCATTTTTCTCATGTATAGGAATTGGTATTTTGATGCCGGGCACTGGTGATAAGTTATTCTTCACTTTGCTAGACAAGTACTAAGGTGGTATGATCAGCTTTGCTGATAAGAGGTACATTTGGAGTCATATCATGTGTAATAAATTTTCTTGGTTTTTGTGAACTGGTCCCTTGTATTGAAGGTTTTAAAAGCAAACCTATTAAGTATAAGTCAAATTTGAAATGGTAATTGCAAGGTAAATTTTGTTGTTGTTGTTGAGTTATAAACAAAGATGGAAAATGTTTTGATAGAATTAGAACATCGGATCATTGTATCTTCTTCAAACTAATTCTTCTCATGTTAACCATAATACTTCACTTAAATCTGCATCTTTGCGGGCATCGAAGACTAGCCACCTATATATTTTTTAATGATAAAATAAAGGGCTAGAGCATGTGAACCATAGTGATTTGATTAAATTGTCAAAAATGGTCTAGTGATTAAAGGTCTTCCAAAGCTAGACACACCTCAGAATGAAGTTTGTGCTTTTGTTAGTGAGGGAACAAATTAATGTGCCTCTGAGAAGATTCCATAATATAGCTACCATGAAGCCTTAGATATGCACATGGATCTTATGCTTCAATCTAAAACTGAAACAGGTGGTAGTAAGAGGTAAGTTTTAGTTACTTCATGCACAAATTTGTATGCGTAAAATAGGTTAGCCAAAATACGTGCACATATTTGTATGGCAACTTCAATTCATCCTTACCGATCTGTTATTTCATGTTTGTCATCAATATTGTCATTATATGATAATAATGTGTTGTTATCTTGAATGAGTTCTTTTTGATAGATAGAAATTCTTGTGTTGGAATGGTTCATATGTTTCTTATGATGCAACTTTTATTGTCTTTCATTTCTTGGGAAGTTGAATCGTGTCTGCCCTTGTGTAAAGCAATTCAGAAGCAAAAACAGAGATATGAATCAGCTTTGAGACTTGCCAAGTTCTTGATACGGAAAGATACCTCATGGGAAGCTACTGAATCTGCGAGGAGTAAGTCTAGGACCCCCACACATGGAGGACCCTCCACTATTTCCCAAGGACAAGAAGGAGTAAAGGAAGGAAAAAAGGCTATAATAAGTCGTAAAATGAACACGACAAAGACTGCAAAAACTCCATTAATTTTGGCGGCTAAGGCAGGCATTCTAGAGATTGTTAGAGAAATATTCAACAAATATCCTCAGGCAGTCGAGCATGTGGATGATGAAGGGTGTAATGTATTGCATATAGCAATCAAGTATCGCCAAATACATATTTTCGATTTTGTAATGAAAATGGAAATTCCAATGAGGAGGCTCATAAGAAAAGTTGAAAATAATGGGAACTCTATTCTACACATGGTTGGGATAACGGCAGAAGATAACATGGCTGGAGACATGCGAAGCCCTGCTCAGCGATTGCAAGAGGACTTGCTCTTGTTTGAGGTGAGATTCTTATGTTCTATATAAGCATCCACATAAACACATGCTCTTCCTTAATTGCTTATAAGCATAACATTTACATAAAGATTCAAGCATTTGGAAAAATTAGTACTGGCGTTTCGTTTGTGCATTCCCTGATCCTTTGTTCAACAGCTTGAAGCACCTTCTTGTGTCTTAATTGACATAAATTCTTGCAGCGTGTGATGAACATCTCCTTAGCCCATTTCATCGAGAGCGTCAACTTTGAAGGGCAGACTGCTGAAGAACTATTTGTCAAAAATAAAGATAAACTTCGCACTGAGGCCAAAGAATGGCTACAACGCACTGCCGAGCACTGCTCCATTGTTGCTGTGCTGATTGCCACCGTTGCCTTTGCTGCAGCCTACACGGTACCAGGAGGTCCAGAACAAAATGCTGGTTATCCCATCCTCATCAACCATCCTTTCTTTGTGATTTTCACCTTGACTGACGTACTTTCCCTTACATTTGCTTTGACATCAGTGATTACATTTCTCTCCATCCTCACTTCCACATTTCACTTCAGAGACTTCAAACAGTCTCTTCCTCAAAAGCTAATGCTAGGAGTTACATTACTGATTCTGTCTCTGTCGATGATGATGTTGGCATTTGCAGCGACAATTATCCTGATGATACATAATAAAGAACCGTGGACAAAAGTTGGCTTGTACTCTGTTGCTTTCCTCCCTGTCGCCGTCATTGCATCCTCATACAGGCCTTTTTATGTACCACTCATGAAAAGTTTCACGTATTCGCTCAAGAAACTAGGGAATATTAATCCTCGGTTTAACACTGTTTTTCTTCCATCTTGTATCACCAATTCTTCTACTCATTCTAGTTCCACCAAACCTTATAAATCTCAAGCAGCCCATTACCTTGTTTGAACTGTAGATTGCATCCTTATTTTAGTACCATCTTCAAAACACCTTCTCAATAAAGTTCAATGTGTCCATGGAGGAGTGGTTCATTGTTTCCTCTTTCTAGATTTGTAAGTACTTTGAGAAAATAAACATGATTAATAAATATGCTGTGTTGAGTGATACCTTGGTTGTATGGTTATGAACTTTCTTGAATGTTTATTTTATTCTCTGATTTTATTTTGTCATAATATTTGATTAAATGAATACCTTCACACAACTCTAGATAGTAAATTACTGATCTTGGATGGTTGATAAGCTAATAAGTCTAATATTACATTGATAAATGAATAATCCAAGAGGCTAAAAATTGACTAAATACCAATGGACCAGTGGCCTAGCGGTATCAATCTCTTACCTCTCAAAAAGAGGTCAGAGGTTCAAGTCTCAGAAGAAATAAGTGTGTGTGAGTACCGACTAGGAAAAATAAAAATAAAAATAAAAATTGACTAAATTAAGATGGTATCTCAACTTCAATTCTTTTACTAAAGATTGTGGTCAAAATGAGAATACTTATGCAGAAATAGTGACTTCAGAAACAGAGTTGGGGCTCTGGCATTGTCTTGATCTCATTGATAAACCATTTAAATGTGGTATTAAGGAAGTGTGTGATAATAACCGTTATGATTAGGTTGTTAATCTGCTTTGCCTTTTTTGTTCTATTGGGTAATTTTACACTCACACCCTTCTTTGGTTAGATTTAATTATACACAGTGATCCAAATAAGCCTTTATTAATTTATTATCCTCGTGGCCATTAAGTGACGCGGCGGTCAAAAATGTGGATAAAATGTCAATTGTACCCTTGCATTTTATAAAAATAAAAAATAAAAAATAAAAAAACTTTGTAAACTAAATTGTATTGCCCCCTCGTTGTCCCCCCCCCCCCCCCCCGGCGCAGCGGGCGGCAGGGGAACTTTTTGACAGAGTTCAATCATCTTTGCTTCTCTAATCAGAACATTGTACAGCTCCTTGTTACTGGCATGTTTTGCAACATTAATTATATTCAACCTTAACTTAGTAACCAACGAGCCAGTGGCCTAGCGGTATCAGTCTCTTACTTTTCAAAGAGAGATCAATGGTTCAAATCTCAGTAGAGACGTGTGTCAATATGTTTACAAACCAACTCATAAAGCTCATGATTTGTTTGGTGCATTTATATTCCTATTGATCGGACTCACTCCTTTGGTGCTCACGAGTTGAATTATGTAAAAGAAGCCTGCACAAAGAAAAATATAATTGGATGTTAAAAGCCATATAGTTTTTTATTTTTATTTTTATTTTTTTTAATTTTTTATTAGAATATGAGAATAGTTGGGCACTAAATTTATGAAATTAACTATCATCTTTTCCTAATACATGTGATGCATTATTGTAATCTAATTACGCCCTTAATTGTTGTTGGATGTCAATACCTATTATGCTGAAGGCGACGCAAAGAAGTGTATCTGATTAGGATGATCAATTTTCAGTAAATAAATAATAAATATATACTATTTATTAACTGAAATCTCCATGGGATAATCTTTTTCCTTTTGGTAAAGAAATGTCTTGAATGGGAGTAAGAAAAGAATAAGGTGCCTCTATTTGGGCCCAAAAAAATTCAATTGTGAATGGTCCGAAAAGACTACAAGAAAGGGTGATTATAACCCATCACTAGGGCCCAATAAGCTAGCCATAAACAAAGGGAAGCCCACACAACCCACTTCAGTAATTCAAAATACCGTTATTAGCAACGGCTCTATATCGAAACGACTTGCTTGTAAAATCTGCAAGGATAAAACGAAATAAGGATTCAAAGGCAAAAACAAATGAGTTGACAAATTCAGGGAAAATTGTAAAAAGACTTCAAATAAAGAAAAGAAAGAGTTTAAAATTTGACAATTTTTATTTTTTTTGATAAATTGAAAATTAAAATCTAAAGAGCTGAATTATAGATACTAACAATTTAATTCCTAATTGAATTATCTTACAACGATCACTGTATAATATTTTACAAAGCAGTACTTTATTGATATTTTTCAAACTTTGTAAGCCTTGTTTTGACGGAATATAATGATTTTAGGTACATTATAATTTTATTAAATTATAAAATTATTCTCACCATGTTCACGTGTTCATAAGGCAAGTCTAGAAACCTAACTAGACAGGAGGAAAAATAAATAAATAAATAATCTAACTGATACTTTCCAACTAAACGAGAATAATGTTTTTCTTGTTCTTGACAGAGGACGGACTACGAAGGGGAGAAAGGAATTATGCATACCTTGCAGACTTTATGAGGAACCAACTTTAGTAAGTGAATCAAGGCGTCAAAAATCAAATCATATCTTATTGGATAATTTGAATGGACCCGAGTGAGGTCTATACCAATTATATAATCTCCACTGTGTTGTGGTAAGACGAAGGGACAGAAGGAGCCGATTCCCTCCATCCTTTCCTTTCCTTCAGCTTTCTTTTTTACGAAGTAGCGAAAAAACTTGTTCTGCTACTTTCCTCTCATTCGTCCCCCTTACTAAATTGTTATAAGAAAAAATTTGTCCCACATCAAATTCAAATGAGAGAGTAATTAGATATATATAGGCTGGGTATTAACCCAACCTAATAGCTTAGAACCTAGTCCTATTCGGTACTACGTTGAACCACCAAGTTTTGGTGCACCCACCTTTTCACACAAACCGAGTTTAAAAACATTACTACCAAGAAATGAAAGGATAAAGGGAGCAAAACTAAAATTCACTTTCTATATAATAAGTATAGACAAAACAAATAATTATTTTTTAAAAATGATTATAAAAGAAAATTATTTAGAAATAAATTTTTTAATTAAAATTTCAAAAACTATTAACCAAACAGCTTTTTTTTGTACTATACTTTTATGATTTCGAATTTATTATAAATTAAAAAAATAATTATCAAAATATTGAATCAAAGGGACACTCTATAGTTGGGATATGATTACCCAACTATACTCTCACTTTCTTATTTTTACTTTCTCCAAAAGTAAAATTATACTTTTCATTCCTTAAGTTGAAATTGAAAGTAAAATGATGTTTAATAAGAAAATTTTATTTTTAATATTTTAAAAGCGAAAAACAGAAAGTAAGTTTAATAATTTTGATTTTAATTTTGTTTTATCTGCTATCTTTCTCTCTCTACTTCTTCTTCTTTTCTTTTCTTTTTCTTTTTTTTTTTCTTTTTATTTTTTATTTTTATCTGCGTTTGATTATGATGAGTGCAAATTTTAACATAACAATAAATCATAACATCAGAAAAATTGGTGTGAACCAACCAATTGGCAAATTCATTACTTTGGTTGATTCCTCCGCTTTTATTGTGCCTCTTTTGTTTGCAATCAAAGATACAATGGTTTAGAACCCTGTAAATTCTTTCCCGTAAAGCTCTACCCTTGTTCAGGGTTTTGGGATTCTCTCGCACACCCTTTTCACATGTTGCTAACCAGACCAAAATCCCCACAAATCCAATTCAGATAAGTGGTTTCAAGAGTTTTCTTCAACCAATTAAGAATAAATTCAAGGAAACATGTGAACAAAGGGAAGATAAAAGAGAATACAATTAGTATATATAGAAATGAGAAATATTTATTAACCCACGAATCTTAATTTGAGATTGTATTTTGAATTTGGAGCAGTGCTACACATTTCGAATCTTAATTTGAGATTGTATCTTGAAATTTATATGAATGTCCCTTATTTTAATACATATTATACTTTATTCATTTATACATTTGTGTTTCCCATTTTAACAAACTAAATAAATTGAAAAAGTAAGAATGAACAATAATTACACTGGTTTCTTTCTCTATTTATAATTTGTTTTTATCAACCAATATCTGTTATTATTATTATTATTATTATTATTATTATTATTATTATTATATATATTTTTTATTCACTCTCTCGACTTTTGTATATCTTTATTTATCGGAACTTATGTAGAAGTATATCTTTGTTGAGTATTTTTAAAATTTAACCATAATCAGAAAATATCAAATCAAAATATAATTTTAAAAAACTTAAAGTTAACAGTGTAAATTAGTGTCCTTATTTACGAGAAATAGATTACTCATTCATAAAAAAAAATTGTAATGTTTAGTTTAATTATTTGAAGATTTAATATAAAAAAAATGGTCTCCCAAATTAATTGAATTCAAATTATTGTGTTATTTTAGAGTTTGGATTCTATAATGATAAATTTTTCTATTTTTTCTCTATTTTCTATATTAAAAACTTATCTGCAGCACAAGAAAGAAAATACTGGCACAGAAAACAAGGAGAAAATCTTTCTATCCGCACCTCCATCTCCATCTCCACTCCGAACGGCAACTGAACTCCTTTCTTCTACATCATGGGTCCTAAGTGACCTTGCATCTTAAAATAAACAAAATAATCAAATAAGCAGCCACATAATTTGATATAAAATCATAAATATAAATTCGTGAAGTATAGTATTTTTTTTCTTTAATCAAGTTTATTTATTAATAACCCACGTTTGTGCTTTGATGTGATATAATATAGATATGTACTTTAATTATTCATTTTATATTTAAAAAATATAAAAAATGTTAATAAATTAACCACAAAAAGAAAACTTCAAATTTTTATTATAATATAAGATTATTTATAAAAAAATAAAAAAAAAACATATATAATGTGGCACACATCTCGATACTTCAAAAAAATATGAGTAATATTTACTCCAATTAAGTCACATATTTTACATTAAATGTAAAGGATGACACAATGTAGTGCACTTGTACTATCTAGCTGGCATTGCCGTCGGCAAAGTGTAAACAAAAAATTAAAGGATAATAAGTGATAAATGTAAAGGTGGCACAGTGTAGTGTGCTTGTACTTTAATTATTCATTTTATGGACTGAAATGCACATTTTTTAAAAGTATGGACTATTTTTGCATAAACCCTATATATCAGGAGGGTTTTTTGTACTTAACCTTTTGTTAATTAATCGGAAAAAGAAGAAAAATTTGCAGATTAGTAATTGGGACCAAGTAACCAACACAGATCTAAGCATATATTGTATTATTGAATGACTTAGTACCCAAGAAAATATCTGTTCTACTCCACACCTTAGGGTTTCTAATCTC